CTATTTCCATTTTATCATCATTTCCTTTTATGGATCAATTTCCATCCTAAAGATTTATTCACAAATTATTTAAGGCTGCATCTAACCTTGTTAGATTGCCTACGTACCTTTGAGTGGGATCAAGCCTTTCGTAGTTCACCAGTCCACTTCCTAAATCATTTATGTTCGACATTTAGTGATCAACAACCATTAACTAGGTCCAAACAAGTGAATCACACCAAATTCATATTCAATATGGATTCAAAACATCAAAATTAGCGTGAAAAAGGCAATGTTGGCCCACTGGCCACGCGCCGCGGCGGATGGCGGTCAGCCGCCCCGACTCGCCAGAAAATTCAATTAATTCCAAAAATTACCAAATTTTACAGGGTTGTATATCTCAATGAGTGGAGTAAGTTTCATACCTGAGGCCAAGTCCAATTTAGCCGGAAAGCACCTCAAATTGGCCACCAACCGTTGGAAACCTTGATTTTGGGTGTTCTTGATTCGTCACCTCCGGTGCTCCGCCGACCCAACCAATGTTTGGGCTTTGTTCCTAAGGTTGAGGGAAACGTATTAGGGGTGGTGGTTGCCTAGTGTTGTTTCAAAATTTGGTGGATTTCCACCCAAAGCCATCACACCCACCGTGGGTGTCTCCTCAAAATTGAACATCCTCTCATCGATTTTAATGTGAAATTGGAAGACGGGTCGAGTGGCCTTGAAGTGAGGGTCATTTTGGCACCGGTCGTGTCGTCAAAGGTGACCGAAGTAGAAATATAGTGTCGAGTATGGTCGGTAGAGAAACAGGTCGAGGGTCCCGTGCTCCTCCCCCTTATTTCCTTTCCCTCTTTTCTTTTTAATATGTATGATTCTTGAGATCTTGTTGGTGTGATTTATAACATGAAATGCGGTTGCATGATTTTAAAAATTTTGTAAATAAAGTGGCACTCATGTAACATATATATGTGAGATACATATATGATTTGCATTCTGTTAGTGATGCAATTTCCAGGGTGATTATGAAATTTCGATAGTAGGAATTATTATTTGCATTGATATTTCTTTATTCTCTAAGTTCTTTGAATAATGAGGTAGTTAGGTGGAATATATATATATATATATATATTGTGAATCATCATGAAATGAAGTGAATTGGATTGATATTATGTTATGCACTACGGAAATTTGAATATTAAGATGATGGTGAAATTGTGACAAGTAGTTGGGAAAGTTGTATTATACCTGTGCAATAGAGAAATGTTAAATTTGGGTGTGATAGCCAGTGGAATGGGAGGAATGTTGATTTGGGCAGAAAAGTAGCTCGTGGATGTTGATTGGGCGGAAAAGAAGTCAGTGGATGTTGATTTGGGTGGAAAAGAAGCCCTTGGGCGGAAAAGAAGCTTGTGGATGTGGATTTGGGGGAAATGACCCATGGAATGTGGAAAAGTGATTGAATGAGCATAAAGACTCAGTGTTTCCGGGAGGAAAGCTCCATGTGTGGGCTGTGAGAATGAATTAAAGTAATAAGAATATGTGATGTGTATTGCCCATGTATATAACAATTTTTCCAGCCTACTAGTCACTGATTGAGATAAATGAAATGGTGGTGAAATTCTTGTTTGACAATGATAAGTATGGCTAGAAATTTTAAAATCTCTTGGCCAATGATAATTGTGGTTGGAAATTTTAGTATTTATTAAACTCATGATGATTTATCGAATGGGAATGAAATTATGACTATGGTTCTGGTTTGGTTGCCATAATTATGAGTGTCATTGTTGGATTTGATATTGCGAACAAAATTGATGACGAGATGTTGGCCAATAAAGTTGTAATATATTTAATTTTCTCTCCCTTGGTTGATGAAATTTGAATGGTACTCTGGATGTGCGAGTCAGTCATTTATTCTGCACTCTGAAGCGATTTAAAAGAGAAACAATTGAAAGAAAGCTTTGAAAAAAGAAGTATGAAAAGAAAAAAGAGAAAGAAAGAAAAAAGAAAGATAAGGTTTTTAATTTTTGCTAGGTTTAAGTAAATTGCAGAAATGAAGGAAATCATAGAATGAGATTTTGATTTCATTCCATGGTAACGGAAATTGCAGATCTTTATTTTAATATAATGGTGGAAATCATAGAATGTGATTTTGATTTCCACCCAAAGCCGTCACACCCACCGTGGGTGTCTCCCCAAAATTGAACATCCTCTCATCAATTTTAATGTGAAATTGGAAGATGGGTCGAGTGGCCTTGAAGTGAGGGTCATTTTGGCACTGGCCCCGTTGTCAAAGGTGGCCGGAGTAGAAATATAGTGTCGGGTATGGTTGGTAGAGAAACGGGTCGAGGGTCCCGTGCTCCTCCCCCTTCTCTCCCTTCTTGGTTGTAGATTTTATGAATAATTAAGGAATTTCAATTAAAGAATAAAGTTTAATGGTGGTAAAATTAAATCAGAGATTAACTTGGGCCTATCATCACTATTTTTTTTTCGAAAATAAAATATTTCGGGGGTAGGGGTGTTACAACAATAAATAATTTGAGACACATCCGAATCTCCGATAAGATTGAGGAGATAAGAATCTTTTTTTACTTTTTTCTTTGTTGAGAAACTTTTTAATATATATGTAAAATAACGGCATGAGAAATATGACGCTGATTCAAAGTGAGACCCAAGACAGATGTTTTGTTCATTTAGCTAAGACAACAAAAATTCTCGTTATATAGCTAGCTAGGAGATCATCAAAATATCCCTTCCTATATAATATATTCAAGATCAAAGTAGCGTGAAAGACTCAACCATATATGACACACCGCCCCCATGTTGAATATTACGTTGAAAATCTCTAATAGATCAAAAATGTTCAAACCAAATTTGAGATCATTATATGGAGAAAACTAGCTCTCCATATAAAGAAAATGACACGAAAAAGAAAATGACAGAATCGAGATGGGAATCGTACGATCTACTCCACCTCCGCAGCTTCATATAATTAATTTTTAATCAAAATACACCAAAATGATTCCATAGGTTGATCAATTGTCCAACCATCTCAATTTGGTATCACTTGTAATTGATTTCTGATCTTTATTTGAAACGGGAGACTGTCTACTTTGCCTTGAGATGGTAATTAACTGCAAATCTGGTGGTAGAACCGCTGTCAGGGGCGGAGCTACATGTGGTTGCCATGGCACCCTCCTCTCCCACCTATATTTTTTTCGTAAGAGTCATGGTGATGAAAATAATTAACATGTCAATGATAGTTACATATACCTCTTCAAACCATAAATACAATTGGAAGAAAGCAAAAGCTTTACCAAAAACACATGTTCACATCCTCCTTCAATAGCTTAAAGATTATATGCTTAGGACAATGAACATTGGAGTGCACACCATACAACAATAGCTCAAAGATTATTTTGATTTATGTTAACGATAAAATAACAAAATTTTTTAAAAGAGAGATGAGCAATATGAGAAGAAAAACACAAAATTGAAAACTATTTAGAGTTGTTAATAGTTTCTAATTTTAAAATTATTTAATACTTAAAAATAAGTAAATAATTAAACTTTATCATACAGATATTGCTAAGTTGTCGTTATAAATTACCGTTATTAACGAGTGATAACATTAAAGTTATGTACATTAAAAAATAACAATAAAAAGAGACTTTCTTTAATTTTTTGGGAATTTTAACAAAAAGCTCTCGGTACTGTTCATTTTAATGAAAAATCACATTTTTACTCTAAAAAGTTAATTCTGATACTATTCACTTATAACCAGTGACGGATCTAGAATTTTAAATTCGGAGGGTCCCAATAATAAAGGTCAAAAAATTTATAGACAAAATAACGTCGAAAAGTTAAATATAATACATTTCATTCAAAAATCATGTGCAAAACAACATTACAAGCTATAAAATCCTAATTAAAGCGTCCACGACGAGGTTTCATAGTCTGAAAATGTTCCATGATAGCTTCATTACCAATACATGAAAAAACATCTTTCTCAATGTAAACAACTAAGCTGTCATTCAACCATTGATCTCCTATTTTGTTGCGAAGTGGACTCTTAATGATATTCATAGCGGAAAATGTCATCTCCACTGAAGCAGTTGCAACTGGTAAAACCAAAGTCAACTGAACAACCAAATATACATATGCAAATGTTTGATGCAACTCTTTCTCCACCATTTTCTTAGCAAGCTCATTAATCCCCCGCAATTGAGAAAAATCATTATCAAAACGCACAAAATGGGAACTCATACTTTGTAGGCCTACAAGGTCCCATTTGCAAATATGCTTTTCGGACCTCATCTTGAATAATAGAAGGATAGTCTTTCATTCGAATTCTTTTTCCCGGGTCTCTCTCAAGATTATTAAAATCAATGTCACACTCATTTTGTCTTGAGCTTGAACTATCCGAACAAGTAGATGGTGCTATTGGCTTTGGCTTGAAAAATCTTTCCATATTTCTTATTTCTAAACTACACATTTAACCAAAAACACAAAACATATACCAATCAACCAATAAACAAAAATTCCATCTAAATTTCAATAATAAAATGAGTATACAAACATAAAACATATGAACAATCATATCAATAATAGACTAAAAATCTCCACCAATATCTAATATAATTTAATTGAGATTAGATTAGAATACCAAAAAGTTTACTTGAATTTTGAACCAAATAGTGGTGGCTTGGAGAATTGAAACAAGTGGAGGTATGATATTAGAGTAATGTAATTATAATATGGGATTGGGTGGGATTGGAAATTTTGGGTTTTGGAATTGGGTGAATATAAGAAAGATGGGGGGATTAGGGGGGCGCAAAACATAGGGAAATGACTCTTGGGAAAGATGGCCCGTGTGGGGCTAGGCCTTAAAAAAGAGAGTATGAAATCATGGACAAATGGCACCGTTTATCTCAGGCTTAAAAAAATATAAAATATAAAAAATAAACAAATTAAACAAATTGGCCAAAACACTGCGTTTTGGACCAATTTTTTAAAAGGCCTGTTTGTTTTCTTTCTTCTCCCCCGCAGCCTCGCTATCTTCGTCTTCGTTGCAAGCTGCAGCCTGCAGTACAGACCTCGTGTTCAAGTACGAGGGGTCCTCCGGAAAATTTCTAGTAGCATTTTAGAATCGCCGAGGGGTCCTGGGACCTCCCAGGTTCCTCTGTAGATCCGTCTCTGCTTATAACACATTTTCATCATTTTCGTTAAAACTCAAAATTTTCAAACTTTTTTCATTAGTTTTTCTTTAAATTTATGAGACCTTCATTTTCATCTCATGTTACCAAAACACAAGACGATAAACTCGATGTCCTGACCAATAAACCCCTTCCTTCTAACCCTATTTTCCTTTCTAGCGCATATCTTCACCACCGCACAACAAACTACTCTCTCTCTCTCTCTCTTTCTCTCTCGCTCTCTCATCTGATCGATCTGTCTTGAATCGTGGTGTCCTAATCTTAGCTAGACAAACCGATAAATTTACACAGGCCTCTAGCTACAAGCTAAGATGCATAAATATCACAATTAGTTCGAGCTCAGGATTAAAGGTGGATCGGAGGCATGGAAAACGCTCGCTTCCTTCAGAAGCATCAGAGGAGAAAGAGAGGGAGGGTCGTCCCCACCACCATGATCTCCCTTCTGACTACGAATCTTCCTGGACGGAAGCTGGCATGTCAGCCATGGTTTCTGCTCTCACTCAAGATTGGAACCACCGAAGATCATGCTACCGTGAAACCAAACCCTACGTTCATCTCAGATTCATCACTCCTAGTCAAACAAGAACCCGACCGCTCTCAACCGGTTCAAGATCAAGGTATTGATTTCTATTTTTCCTTCTTTTTTATATTTTTATTTTTGGTCCCCCGACCTAATTTATTATTATTATTTTTTGGGATTGTTTAAAGTTTTTTTTTTATACTATAAATTCTATGCTAAAATCATTTAAATTACGGATAGTGAGATTTGAACTTGAATGCTAAACATAAAAAATACTGCTCTAATCAATTTAATAAAGTCACGATTTATAGGATCGTTATGGTTGATGATATTGACATGTGCTGCGCTAGGGTATTGAGGTTTTCTGTGTATGCATCTGCTTTCACAATATTGTTGTGATTTTGATCTATTTTCACAGCACTTGCATTCTCATAAGTTGTCATCATCTATACTTTCCCTTTTTTCCTTTTTTTTTGTTGGCATTCTCTCTCTCTCTCTCTCCCCATTCATTTTTTGTGGTTGAAATTTTACAATGCCTAAACCTAGTAACCTGTTCCTATTTAATACGGACCTTCATTTTGTATTAAAGATTTGAATAATTGATGACACACGTCCTATTTAGGCAAGTCACCACTTAAGCCATATTATATTGTATTAACGGATGGATTATTACCAGAACTACTAAGTCAGCGACAGCTCCCAACGCGAGGCCGGTTTCAAAGGTCAGAACGCTTACCAACTTTACTCTACATATACAGATCTGATGTTGTGATAAATATTGAGAATTGTTATTAATATTTTAAAAATTTTATTCTAAATTTCTTACAAGTGTATTTTTTTTTCTAAATATAGAAAGTTTGAAGTGTCAACTAAGATTTTTAGAATGCTAATAACAATTCCCTAAATATTATATAAAAACTTTCGACCTAAATCCACTTGTTTGACTATGTGTATATTTATTTTTTATATATTTTATTGGAAAGGCTCTCACGTTTAAGCTTTGTTGGCGTCCTTTGATAACATGGCAGAGGCATACTCGTACATGTGCCTGCGGCCCCATGTCTCCATCTACAAAAGTCTTACATGGAATCGAACTACTTGTAAGAAGGTGAAGAATGGAATGTAAGTACCCACCACAACCTGACCAAGCAAAGCAACATCCATACAATAAAATAATGAGTTGCATCACATTAATTAGTCGCACACGCATACCTGAATAAGTTTGATAAAATTTGATAATTAATTCATATATATATAAAATAATTATAATTTGTTCAACGATCAGATATCACTTACGCTCTCACAACTAAGTTTAACAAAACTTAAATGAGGTCGTTATCAAGAGGACACAGTAATACAGTTTAAGACGAGGGTCGTAGAAGCCTCGACAAGAATTTGATACCGACCCCAAAGTCTATAGGAACATTTTGGCATGCATGCTTATTGTTCTATTTATTTTATTAGGGGAAGTTTCTCTTTATTATTTCAATCTGTAAGTTATATGGGGGCACTTGTTTGGACTTTGGAGGGAGAATATACATCTGTATTAGGTTAGGGAGAAGCTGAGCACGAGCGTGAAGAGGTGAAAAGGATCTGATAATACAGTGAGAGAAAAAGTAATTATTGAGGTGAGCAGAATCTTTAAGAGAAAGAATCTTTATTTTTTTCAAAATGAGGATTAGTGTTGGGACTTATACCAAATCGAACTTTAACGATCCAAATTATTTATTTTTCAAGTTGCACTTCATAGATCATTTTTGCAAAATATTAGCCAAATCAAAAATATTTGAGGCATCTAATTGAGTTTAAAAAATTTGACAAACACTATGTTCTAAGAAATATTGAAATTTCAACATGACAATTAATTAGGTAAATGGTTTTGGATTGAATTGAATTTTTACAAAAATGATTTATGAATCAAGACTTATAAACTATATAGCTCGGATCGTTGAAGCTTGATGTGTTGTGGATTTCACAACTAATCTCCAATTTTTTTTTATAAATAATGTGGACCCCTTCTGAAGGGGCTTGGTCAGGTCAGAGGCAAAACCCGACTATGCCTCGGCTACTGCTAGCAAGAGCTGGTGGTAGTACTGTAATCTGTAGTCCCTTTCATATTTATGGAAGGATTGCTTGAGGAGGAGGAGGAGGATCTTGGAATCAGCTGGAAAATGATTGTGATGTGGACGGTTGAATTATTGAATTTGCATGCATGCATGTATACGAAATAATATTGCTTCGTCACGACACTTACAAAATGCTATTATATAGTACATATTTTTATTTCTCGAAGAAGTTGAAGATAAAGCTGCTGCAGGAGGGACGAAGGGATATCTTATGTAAGCATGAAAGAGATGAGAATACATGTGGATTGATTGTCCGTAGTTGAATCTACATGTGCATGTAATCTTTCCCACATGCGGTCGATCGAGCTTCATAAAATTTAAAATAAAAAGAGACAACAAAGAAAAGTGGGTATATATGTCTCCATACATAGATATAGTGTGTATACATGAACAAGTGGGTATGCTTGTACGGTTGTCGCATCTGCCTATGAAGGTGCACGGTGCACTTTCCCATCTAAATAAATTGTAATCACAAATCAAATCTTGTTATCAGTTATATATAATTATATACGTACACAAATATATATAACATCAACTATTAGTTTGATATGATGGAGTCAAAACATTTACCTGAAAGTTCTGTCATGTGATAAAAATTGATTGTTCTTGACTCTTGACCGATATCTAGAAACCAAATCACACTACAGTATTTTCAAACGTAGGAGAACTATATATATTTAAATAATTTTATAAGTATGTACGTCATGCATGATCACATCAAAGGTCCAATGTACAATTAAGTGGTCCAATGTACAATTAGGTAGTCCAATTTACAAATTAAGTAGACACTACCTATGTGAGAGCATATATAGGGCTGGGAAGATCTTTCATGTCCGAAGATCTATTTCGTCATCTTATCACCCTCACTATACGACTAACATACAATCAGAGATATAAAAGATTCCCGATGCAAAATATTGAGGCCTAAGACGATAATGTTCTGGCTTTTTTTCTAAGAGAAAACCATAGCTTTATTGATGAAGAACTGAAAGTGAGTACAAATCTTGGTAGAGTATATCCCTTATAACATCAGAGGTTTCTCAAACCAAACTATAGAATCATCACTATATAAGCTTGATTTGGCAAGGCGATGAGCCACTACATTACAATTTCGCAGAAAATACGAAATATTACACTTGTAACCCGGAAACCAGCTTCTTTATTTCAGAAGCAACAAAATATTTTCCGTATATATAGCTAGCTATAGGGAGATCATCAAGTATTCCTGCATATGTATACATTCAATGAGAAGAAATAAACGTTAAAGACTCAACCATATATGACACACGTCCTTGTTGAAATACGTTGAAAATCTCCACTAGATCTAAATATTCAAACCAAATTGAGATCATTATATGGAGGCAACTAGCATTCCATATAAAGAAAATGACAAAATTGAGATGGGAATCGTACGATCTACTCCACCTCCTCAGCTTCATATACTTTGAATTTTAATTAAATACACCAAAATGATTCCGTAGGTTGATCAAATTGTCCAGCCATCTCAGTTTGGTATCACTTGTAATTGATTGCTGACCTTTATTCTGAAACGGGAGACAATCGACTTTGCTTTGAGAGGGTAATTTTTTTTTTTCTGGAGAACATCAATATTTTTACATTAAGAGGAGGGGGATTTATGCTAAGCCACACAATGGATAACTTAATTTGGTATTGAATTCACCATTCACGAGATTCAAACCTAAAACCTTTTACTTCAAAGTGAAAAAGAATATCATCAAACTATAGTAATAAGTGGCTTTGAGAGGGTAATTAACTGCGAATCTAGTGGTACTACTCCTCTCTCTCTTCCCCTCCCCCCCCCCAAAAAAAAAAAAAACATTTTATTGATCACCTAGATTCTTTTCCGTAGCTCCGTTAGCGGCCACGATTACATATTATATATAATTAAAGTTTAAGACTCATAGTGATTTTCATAACTAACATGTTAATGATACTTCTATATTGTCACATCCCGGCCCGGGCGGGACCACTTCCCGGGCTCGCTCCACCACCGTAGCACGATATTGTCCGCTTTGGGCCCCGACCACGCCCTCACGGTTTGGTTTTTGGGAACTCACACGAGAACTTTCCGATGGGTCACCCATCATGAGATTGCTCTAGCCCCCTTCTCGCTTAACTTCGGAGTTCCTACGGAACCCGAAGCCAGTGAGCTCCCAAAAGGCCTCGTGCTAGGTAGGGATTGGAATATACATATAAGGATCACTCCCCTGGGCGATATGGGATGTCACAATCCACCCCCCTTAGGGGCCCGACGTCCTCGTCGGCACACACGCGACCAGGGTTAGGCTCTGATACCAAATTGTCACATCCCGGCCCGGGCAGGACCACTTCCCGGGCTCGCTCCACCACCGTAGCACGATGTTGTCCGCTTTGGGCCCCGACCACGCCCTCACGGTTTTGTTTCTGGGAACTCACACGAGAACTTCCCAGTGGGTCACTCATCCTGGGAATGCTCTCGCGCGCTTCTCGCTTAACTTCGGAGTTCCTACGTAACCCGAAGCCAGTGAGCTCCCAAAAGGTCTCGTGCTAGGTAGGGATTGGAATATACATATAAGGATCACTCCCCTGGACGATGTGGGATGTCACATATATACCTCTTCAAACCATAAATATAATTAATTGGAAGAAAGCAAAAACTTCACACATGTTCACATCCTCCTCTTTCAATAGCTTAAAGGTTTTTATGTTTAGGACAATGAACAATGGAGTGCGCTACCATACAAGAATAGCTCAAAGATTACTTGGTTTTATGTTAAAGATAAAATAACAAAATATTAAAGGAGAGAGATGAGCAATATGAAAAGAAAATCACAAAATTGAAATCTATTTAGAGTTGTTATTAGTTTCTAATTTAAAGTTATTTCATACTTAAAAAATAAATAAATAATATAAATTTTGTGAGAAGAATACAGCTAGTTGTCGCTATAAACGAGAGATAGCATCAAAGTTATATACACTCAAAAGTAACAAATTAAAAGAGATTTTTTTTCTTTCTCTTTTTAAATTGAATAATACCTTCATTTTCATCTCATATAACCAAACATCCAAGACGAAAAACTCGAATTCTTGACCAATAAAGCCCTTCCTTTCTAACCCTATTTTCCTTTCTAGTGCATATATTTACTACCGCACAACAGTCTACTCTCTCTCTCTCTCTCTCTCTCTCTCTCATCTGATCGATCTATTTCTTGAATCTTGATGTCCAAATCTTAGACAAGCCAAGAAATTTACACAGGCCTCTAGCTGCAAGCTAAGATACACAAATATCAGAAGTAGTTCGAGCCCAGGATTAAAGGTGGATCGAAGGCATGGAAAACGCCCGCTTCCTTCAGAAGCATCAGAGGAGAAAGAAAGGGAGGATCATCCCCACCTCCATGATTTCCCTTCTAACTACGAATCATCCTGGACGGAAGCTGACATGTCAGCCATGGTTTCTGCTCTCACTCAAGTTATTGGAACCACCGATGATCATGCTGCCGTGCAACCAAACCCTACATCCATCTCAGACTCATCACTCCTAGTCAAACAAGAACCTGACCGCTCTCAACCGGTTCAAGATCAAGGTATATATGATTTCTATATTTTTCCTTCCTTCCTTTTTCATTTTTTTTTTTTTGGTCCCTCGACCTACTTTTTTTTTTTATTGTTTTAAGTTTTTTTATATATACCATAAATATTCTACACTAAATTCATCTAAACTAAAAGAAATGAGATTTGAACTTGAGTGTATAACAGAAAATGCACTGCTCTAACCAACCCAGCTAAACCCAAATCTATAAAATCGTTGTAATTGATGATATTGACATGTGCTGCGCTAGCGGTACTGGGGTTATCTATAAAATCGTTGCAATTGATGATATTGACATGTGTTGCACTAGCGGTACTGGGGTTATCTATATGTATGCATATGCTTTCACAATATTGTTGTGAATTTGATCTGTTTTCACATCACTTGCATTCTCAAAAGTTCCCATCATCTATACATGTCCATCTTTAAATCCCCATTATTTGGACAAGATACTAATCAAACTAATTGAGTAGCTTGTTAGGTTATCTAATTGCTCTTTGTTCTCCTAACCCTATTTTTGTTATCATCCGCTACGAATATCCCAGCATTGTGTTTCTTGCCTAAATCAAATTTGACCAAAGACTTTTTAATATGATCATAGACAACTTTAATAATTTTGTATCCTACCTACTTTCCGTGAAGAACCCTCTTTCTATCTCTCCAATTGCCAACAAACTAAAAGTAATTCTTGTTTCCATCTGGGACATTCTTTTCATGTTTTTCTCAATTTTCACAAACAGACTCTTACTGATTGAAAGTTTAAACTAAATACAAATTAGAGATGTTTGGTCTTATCTTATTTTTTTTTATGTTCTAGCTAATTCTAGTCTATCTTGCCTCAACGTTATCCGATCCTTGGTAATAACGTCTTAAACTTTATAGCTATTCAATTTCTTATGTTGGGTTGGTGCAATTTCCGCCTAAGTATAAGTTTTCTGGAAGATTTGCTAACTTCAAAAGTGTTTACTGAAAAGGATGGGAATGCTTTGAATTCCAGTCTCTATCTTTGTTCTGCTTTCATATGTAAGACCTTTTTAAGAAGGAACTAAAGCTCTCTCGAATATATACACGTAATACTTTAGCACAATAGGGCACACTTGCCGCTAATTACACTCCTCTTCTAGTTAGATTCCTTCCACATTGATAGTGCATGGCAACTTAAAGACGTCATTGCATCAACTAGCTAGGATATAGTAGCATGGACTATGTAGCATAAATATATATGTATACTTATCTCTCTGTGTGTGTATGAGTTTGTGTATGTAGAGTTAGTCTTTTATATGAAGATTACTATTATTTTAAAGATTTTTTTCGTAATGTTTCTTTTGATGATATTGCGCTTAAATATGTTTATAACTACATCGTTTTGTACCAAACTATATCAATCCATATAAGTCTAATTTCTAATGTTTTTGTCTCATAATATACATTAAACTTTGTATATTGTTGTTTCATGACGTCCATGTTTGTGAATTAAGAGCCCGTAAGGAGGCGACACTATAGAGGAGTGAGACAAAGACCTTGGGGAAAATGGGCGGCTGAAATACGTGACCCAAAGAAAGCAGCCAGAGTTTGGCTTGGGACTTTCGAGACCGCCGAAGATGCCGCCATTGCATATGATAACGCAGCTCTCAAGTTCAAAGGCACAAAAGCCAAGCTCAACTTCCCCGAACGAGTTCAAGGCAAGACCGATTTCGGCATCCTAATGGGCAGTTCTGGTAGTACTACAAGTAGTAGTGGTGCTGCCTCGACTCAACGAACACAAAATCTCATGACACCAGCTGGCCATATTGTTAATCCTCAGCGGGCTACTGCTCCATTAATGATGTCGCAGCAGCCGGAAACTTTCCCTGATCTTTATCAGTACGCGCGGCTTCTTTCCGGCAATGATGCTGATTTCTACAATTATTCTTCCTATCCATTTAATCAAGATCCAAGATTTACTTCACAGTTTTTGCCATCATCGACGCATTTTTCATCTTCCACTGCATCACAAGATTCACAACCATCGCAACAAAGACAACAAGATCATGAGGAAGATGGGGGGAATAAGGACTGGAATTTGAGTAATCCAAGGGAGTAGCTAGTGGTAGTAGTACTATTGCATGCATTATTTAATCTTGATGAGGTTCGGTTTTAAGTATAGAGGAAGTTGAATATTTGGAGAGCATTTGTTTGTACTAGTTAGCATGTATTATCGTTTCAGGTTTTTTTTTTTTTTTTTCTTCTTCTTTATTGATATATATGTATTGCATAAGTTTTTTACGTATTGTTGCTGCCATGCATTGATTAAAAAAAAAAAAAAAACGTCTGAACAAGATTCACACCCTAATACATGCATTAGTGGTTAATTTTGAGATTTCCATGATCAGTGTACTAGTACTACCAATTCCCCGCATCACCCTCCAAAAGCATGCATAATTTATCGTCGAGACTCAAGTAGAATGTAGACGTGGATTGCCTTTTAGAGATTGAGGAATTCTTTTTCTCACACAGAAGAGTTTCATTCAAATTATGGGCCTCCGATATTATGCTTTTAATCATTTAAACGACGAACTGTTTCTATCCAACTTGGTTGAATATCGTATTCAAATATTGTTATCCAAGGCAAAAAGAGTAATGTTATTCATACAATATTTTTGTACCATATTTTCATATTATCTTAGGTTGCATTTGATGTAGACAGCCACATCATTTGAATTAATCAGATTTTTAAATTTAGTTCATCATTCAATAAACTAATAATTAAGAAAAATTAGTTAATTAAATAACAATTGTGGTATACGAGGAGTCTTTCTCTTTCATTTCCTTGGGTTTTGCAAATTTTTCAAATGATGCGGTTGTCCACATCAGATACCACCTAAAGTGGTATTGAAATATGGTATACAAACATGATATGAATAACATTACTCAAGCAAAAATCACATCCGAATATTTGTCAACTTAATGATAAATCAATTACAATCTACTGACGTAATGAAGTGCCGTCGCTTCGAGAATTAAAGGTGGAATATTATTTCCAATCTCCTGATGGGATTGGTGGCAATCACCTTAACATAACACTCCAATCAGTAGATTTCCTAAGATATATTTTGGTTTCAACTTTCAAGCATGTTGGGAAATTATCTAGGCTTTTTAGCCAAAAACTTAATTAACAAAAACTTTTTGACGAAGAAAAATTAAAGGAAAATGGAAGGAGAAATAATCTAATAATCTATAGTTTATAGGTAGCTTTTGGAGCACTTTTTACTGCATGCTAACTTTATTAGATGCACGAACCAAAACTGGCTTCTCATCATGAGCCATCATCAGTTCTGAGCTGCTGGTAGCAAATACATCGACACGTTAACATTTGCAAAACCTTAAAGTGGAAGTGGAAGTGAAACCATCAAGGTTCAAAACCTTAATTAGTAACCCCCACCGGCACACAATGTTATGCAATCTGTAACACAAGTTTTGAAGAAGGATATAATTAAACATGCCGACAAGCTTTTGAGCATGCCTCCACTATCCTTTCTTTCTTTCTTTTATACTTAAGATGGAGCATATTTTTTGTCACCGCCACACTATTGCCTGATATTAAAATAAAATATTCACATTAATGTTATATTAACGAGTGAATAATTTGAGTTAAGTGACACGACATATTAGTCATAGTAAAAACATTCACATTTTAAACATGCATGTTAATATCAATATTGATCTGTTTGTCACTAAAATATAAACAATGTCATTCACTTATATTGTACTAGCTGGGTTTTAGTTTACTGTGTTCCACACGCATATGGTAGGATAATCTCTAGTGAGACGCAAAAAATCTAATGACATCTCAAAATTATTAACCAGAAAATCACTTATATTTTTATTAGCTTCATGTCTCAAACTTAAGATTTGAAATTTTTAATCATGACTTTTTTACGTGATATAAGGTACAAGGTAGGCCTTTATTCTCCCACTTGTTTTAAGCTTTTTGATAATGTTAACAATAAACTATTAAACCTAATTAGGCTAAGCATTTGCGTTTATTGTCGTTGCGACCAGTACAAACGACAAAATACAGATCCCGCAACGGCTGAAATCATGCGCATGCCAAAGCGGCTTCAGTGGGCCTTCAACCTAATTTCCCCACAAATGTCAGAAGCTCCAGTGGGCCAGCCCCAAAGCGTCCAAAGCCCACAAAATGTCTATCTGCCTAACAAAGGAACCCAGAAAACGACAAAAAGGAAAAGCAAACAAAGGAGCGTAGAAGCTCCCTTTGTTTTTTTTTTTTTCCAAACTCTTTACGCTTTTAAAAGAGGAATATGATTCTCTTCGATCTTAATACCAGTATTCCTCTCTTCTCTTACACCTTATTTTTATTTTTTTCTCACTCTTATTACCAATAAAACGTTCAAAACAATAGTGTTTTGTTTTTTTTTTTTTTTTTTTATGTAACACGTTCAAAACAATAATGCGATATCATTTAAATTAATAAAACAAGAAAAGAAATTTATTAAGATAAAAGAAAATCTTACGCTTTTCACGAATATTGGTGACGTGTGCTGAGTTGTCCTGGAATAGCATGGGATTTGGGTAGAATCAGGGAAAGAAAGATGGGAGGAGGGTGGGTCCCATGTATGATTTGGACAAGTGACACGCACCAAGGTTGTAGATTTCTACGCTTTCGGCTTGTTCCCTCTCTAATGTCAAATTTGGCGGCGACTGTCATGTTTGTCTCTTTCTTTGCCTTATACCATGCGTCCAATCCAAGGTGAAACCAGCAAACAGTGAATCCCTGCGAGCCGCATTCACATTTCTTTCTTCTTTCCGTTTTTTGAGTACAACTCAAGACTTCTATTATCATACGCAATATTCTTCCCAATCCCTCCCATGTACAAGTGATGACATCTCTATTCATATCACGTTAATCAAAAGAGCTACGTTAATAACTTCGTTAAAATCGTACTAAAAAGATATTGTTGTAAATTTCATGCATGGCGATGATTTTATGTTGAGAAAGTTTTTATTGTCGACAAATCATCATAAGCACGAAGACTCCTTCACCTGCATGATGACTTATTTGTAGTACTAATAATAGCTCTATAAACTATAGCGGTTGGAGAAATTATGTTTTAATATCATTTTAACACCCACGAGTTTTTGCCACGTCTTGCTACCACATCTTTCTTTGTGTGAAAAGCTTGTTTATTGATAAGTTCATTTCACCAAATACACAACTACAAAAACACCATCATTATGTACATTAGTTGTGCGATTTAACATTTTCTTTTTAAGTAATGCACCGTGCATATGATGGTTTAAGCATTGGACTAGTATGTCAAACCAAGTCTATCGAGATCATAATCTCTTATGGAAAAGTTAAGACTATCATAATCTCTTATGGAAAAGTTAAAGACTATGTACTGTTTTATTTTTTAAGTAAAATTTTGAATTCTTCTTTCAACATGCATTTGAGTTTCGAATTTGTTCCTAAAATAAAATTTCGTTAATTTACTTTTTGAATTTAACAAAATGTGTATTATTGATCTTAGTTGTTAACTTATGTCCTCAATAAAAAAAATTAAGAAAAAAAAAACTAAAAATAAATTAAGTTAAAAAAACACGTGTCACTCAAGTAGATATGGCACAAAGAGACCACCTAAGGTTTTGAGCGCATAAGGAGACGAATTCTAAACTCGAGTGCAAGATCAAGTATGAATTCTAAAATTTTTCTCTTTTATTTTTATGAGAAGGTTCAAATTGACTCTGTGGAGTAAAATGAATGAGAATACACAAGAACTAGCTTGACCCATTCCAAGTCTCAAAGACTCGTCGGCTTGTAACCGATTTGGCCCGTTAATCCGTTATAAACTGTTGTATGAATTGGCCCATGTCTGCCTCTTGTTAAGCATTATTTGGGCCAGACGATGCCCAAAAATAGTGTGGGCCTGTTAAAGTCCCAAAGTTAAAAGAGAATTGAAAAAAACAAAGAAATGTTGACAGTGGGATTTGAACCCACGCCCTTTCGGACCAGAACCTTAATCTGGCGCCTTAGACCAACTCGGCCATATCAACTTGTTGTTAGCCTGTTCGTAATTTCTATAATTATACTTTTCTTCAGTAAATCCTTCACCTGCACCGCCTGCATCTCTGGTATCCGCACATCTAAAGATTATGAACAGAGCAAATGGGATTTTTATGCATAATAAATTAACTGAAATTAGCAAAAGCCGTAGGTTGCCTTAATTACCCAAAAATGGCTTCCAAAATACTTTGCGTGTGTGCAAGTGCAACCATCGTCCCTCCTCCTACACCTCCTGCTGCAAAACGTTAGCAGTTCAAATAATATTTCACAGATTTTTCTTTCTTCTTCTGCAGATAAAGCTTCCGTTCGGCTTCAATCCTTCGAGTGCAGAGCTCTCGGAGAAGGCTCTCAGTCGCAAAACTCCTTGGCTGAAACCGTCTATCAGGGAGTTTACGGTCCTTGGTACGTCGACTCCACCGACGTTCGAGAGTTACACAACCACTTTCTAATTTCTAGTTATAAGTGCTTTTGTTCACATTTGTACTTTTTATGCTATAAGTGTCACTACAAGTAGTCGTGTAACCATTCAATATAAGTTGTATTTGATTCGATCAAGTTTCTGAGACTGGAAATTCACATTCTTCAACATATATCGGTGTGGCAGGTTATTTTGTACAGGTCAGGACTAGTGACTGCAGCTACATCAGTTGTAGTTGCAGCTTCTGCTGCATTTTTGCCTGACTGCTTCTTCTTAACTGGTATTTTGAAACACAATCTCGATTTCGTGTATGCAATCGGAGCTGGGGCTGCCATTGTTTCTGATTCACATATATGTGACTGAACTGAAATTAAGCGCACTCTGCAAGCATTTTGGGGGCTTGGTGTTGCCGGGTCTTTGGCAACATATGCATGCTTGGCTAGCCCAGCTGGAGAGGGTTTGGTGCAGTATGTTGTGGATAACCCAATTGCTATCTGGTTTGTTGGCCCTTTCTTTGCTTCTCTCACAGGACTAGTCTTCAAGGAAGGTATGAGAGAACTTGATGTTCTACCGAAATTCTTTGTGCAGGATGCTCGTTTTTTGTTAAACTAGGGATTTTGTATCAATAATGTTGACAACGTGTAACATTTTATTAACGACTTGTTGGCACTGTAGTCCCTCCTTTAATAAATAACAAACGTCGTGCCTAGAGAAGATGTGATATGCTATGTGTTGCCTTCTTGGTCACTTGTATTCGAGTCTTAGCAAAGTAATACTAAAACTAAGTACTTGTCTCAGGTCTCTGCTATGGAAAGTTAGAAGCTGGAATTCTCACGTTCATCATACCTACTGTTCTTCTCGGGCACTTGATATGTCTTATTCAAACTGATCCCCCTTCATTCATCAAATTGATCCCTTGCATCGTCTCTGCCCCCTGTACTTTGCAAACCGTTCCAATCTGAAGTTGACGGATTTTGTGCAAGAAATCATCATAAGTTGGATGTTTGCTAATTAGAACAATGTGCCAACTGCAAAGATCAAGTTCAATGTAATTGAAAATATTGGAATGAAAGCGGAGCTTTGTGAAAACTATAGGACTATATCCGTGTGCTAGCCTTTTCTCAAAACTTCCGTTAGTGAACTATTCGTAGGTTTTGTAACCTGTGCTGTCTAGGCACTAATGGAGTTCATGTTAAACACAGAGTGGACTGGTGGACTGATGGACGATGGAGCAAAACTTTCCTTGCTCAGTTCTTGGATAGCCTTGTTTGTGATTTTTGCTGGAAGGAAGTTCACTCAACCGATCAAGGTAATCTTCTGTTATTGTTATAGATTTATGCTCATAGTAATTTGATAACGAATTGTGTTTAGCTTTCAAGGATGACATTGGCGACAAGTCCGTCTTTACATTCAATTCTCTGCCTGAAGATGAGAAGAAGGCCTTGATTCAGAAGCTTGAGCAGCAGAAGTTCAATCAGGATCTCGATTAGTTCCTCATTTTCTGCCGCAGCAGCCTTCTCCTTGAGTTTGTCTAGGATATGTTTCGGTTCTAGGTTAACATGTCAATATCATGGCCAATTAAAATTGAGCAGAGTTGTTAATAGATTACATGAAGCAGTTAAGTAAGGATTATATGCAGCCACTTTGATGCGGACTAACCGAAACATGCATGCAGCGCACAATACACACAAGCAAAATGCAACATTTTTCCACTCGGTAAACCCCATTGAGTCCTGCATTCACCCTTACAAACTTTTGTTTGGAGGCTCGATGCGTACTATTTCCGCTAAGGTCCCTTCCACCCTACAGAATCGAGTTACATAAAGGATTTGGTCATCGGTTTACTATAGTAATCTTGCTCTCTAAACCCGCACAAGATGGTATGGAAGAACCAAGACCCTGTGATTTATGTTAGGAGTACAACCTCACACAGCAACAATACATCACAACCACCACCAGATTAGATTATTTTACTTAGTTGTTAAGCTTGGAATGTTTGTGATTAGTTATATACATTATGCTGAGTTGACACATATGTTGGGATAGAATATTTATGTATAAATACAAATGTGTATTATTCAGTTGAGGTAATGAGAACCACAATTATATTTTACTCTCTCTCTACAATTCTCTCTCTTTCTCTCTCTTAACTGAATTTCCCTCTCTAAATTCTTAGCTTCAACATGGTATCATCACCATCGTTTAACTGACTCCGATCCGGCACTTCCCTTTTCTAGCAATTTTCTTGCATTTTCTGATCTTCCGAACAGATCGCTGCTTCTTTGATCTATTCTTTTCCTCTCTCGATTCAGCAAATCTTGATATGTCGGCGACAGCAAACTCCTCGAATTCTAACTCTCCACCTCTTGCAAACCCTAATTCCACAACGATTCTCCCTCACAGTGACATCTCCAACCCTCCGATCATATTGATTGGAATGATTTCCATTGCAAAAGTAGCTGGATGGTTTTGACGAAACTCAATTGTCAAAACTACATCACTTGGTGCAATCTCTTCATTCTTGTGCTGAAGTGCTTCAAGCTTCTTGGACTCGTCAATGGCGAGGATTTGTGTCCTCCTAAATTTGTTCGTGATTCCTCTGGAACTTGTGTTCTCAATGAATCTTTTGAGACCTGGTATGATCGCGATCAGATCTTGATGATCTGGATCTGGATCAACTTTACGCTCTTTGAAGATCTTCTTCCCTTGACGATTGGCATGGAAGACTCTTATTCTCTGTGGCAATCTCTTGAGCGACGTTTCTCAGCGCTTCACTGCACACATGTTCACAGTCTTCGATCAAACATTCAAATGATTTAGAAATGTGACTCTTCAATGACCGACTTCCTTAATTCGATTAAAGATATCTCTGATAAACTTGTTGCAGCTGGTGGACCACTGTCTCAGTCCGATCTTGTTGTATACATTTTATCTAAACTTCCTGATGAGTATAAGTCATTTGTTGACTCTATTGAGATTCAAAATGAATCTGTGACTGTTGATGAGCTTTATGGCCTTCTATTGAGGAATGAAATCTCATTCCAAAAACGCAAAACCAGAGCTTATTCCTCCTCGACTGCACCATTTCATGTCTATGCTGCTTAATCTTCTAATCCTGTTGGCAATTCCAACAGAGGCAACTCTCGTGATCGTTTTCATAGCCAAAATCGGTATACTCATAATCGAAATTTTGGGGGAAACAAACCTAACAACTGGAACAACAATAACTCAAGTGGCATTCTTGGTGCTGGTCATTCTCGCCAGAATTTTGGTTAATCATCTTCCTCTGGTCGCTCAGTTCCATGTCAGCTATGTCTCCAATATGGTCACTGGGCTCCTACGTGTAATCGTCTCTCTCAGTTTGCTTAATCTCAAGCTTATATTGTAATGTCTGCCATAACTTCTTCTACACCTCTCAGCTATTGGCTCACTGATAGCGGAACATCCCATCATGTCACACCTGATCCCTCCACACTCAACTCTGCCATTCCTTACTCTGGCAATGATTAACTCTTTGTTGGTGATGGCAGAGGTCTGTGCATTTCTCATACTAGTTATGCACTCATTCGAACCAAACATGCTACTTTTCATTTAAATGATGTCCTTTTAGTTCCTCAGGCTTCCCATAACTTGTTATCTGTTTACAAGTTTGTATATGACAATTGGTGTTCTCTGACATTTGATCGTTTTGGATTCTATGTCAATGACCTAAGAACTAGGAAAATGCTTTTCCAGGGCCCCAGTGAAGGAGGTTTGTACCCCTTCTATTGGAATGCTTCAAGTGGTGTCTCTGGAATTGCAATCTCACTAACTGCTCTGATGATTGCTAAGGCTGATATACATATTTGGCATCGTAAGCTTAAACAACCTTCTGGTGGGGTTTTACATTCTGTTGTGAATAAGAATCATTTCCTTGTAATTGGTTCTGTTAATAGTTTGTCAGTATGTATTGCCTGTCAACTTGGGAAGGCTTCTAGACTATCATTTTCCACTTTACCTTGTACTTCCACTAGGCCACTTCAATTGCTACACACAGATGTATAGGGTCCCTCCCTCACACCTTCATGTACTGGTTACAGATTATATATAATAATATTAATAGTGGATGATTTTACAAAATATAGTTGGCTCTACCCTTTACATTTTAAGTTTGATGTATTCTCCACTTTTAAGACCTTTATTTTAAAGATTCAAACTTTGCTTGAATTCAAAGTTCAAAGTATAAGGTCTGATTCAGGGGGTGAATTCTTAAATAAGTTATTTCAAAGCTTTTTTTATTGATCAAGGCATCATGCATTAGTTGAGTTATCCTCACACTTCTGAGCAAATGGGTGTGTAGAGAGAAAACATCGTTATGTTGTTGAAATGGGCAAAACATTGTTATCTCAAAATGATTTACCTACATAGTTTTGGGTTGAAGCATTTCAGACTATTATCTATCTCCTTAATCGGTTACCTTCTTAGCTTTCTATGGTCAGTCCTTGGGAAATCTTGTTCCATGTTCCTCCCCAAGTATCATACACTGAAGAGTTTTGGATGTGCTTGCTATCCATGGTTGCAACCATATTCAAGAAACAAGTTGGATTTCAAAAGTAAACAATGTGTGTTTCTAGGTTATAGCTTGAATCATAGTGGCTATAGCTGTTGGGATCCTATCTCTAATAGGCTATACATCTCAAGACATGTGGTGTTTGATGAATCCTTATTTCCTTACAAATATTTGTCTTTTCAGGTTTCAGCTCAAAGTATATGTGCGCCTCATCATCCCCCCACTCATATATCTCTTAATCTGCCTTTGCCAGTGTCACATCTTGAGAAACAAACTTCAACTGCAGCTACATCATAATCATCTACTTCACCCATATTTTCAACTACTGAGAAGAATACTACATTTTCTTTTGTTCCAGATTCAATACATACTCCTGCAACGTCTTCAAGCACAGAAGAATATTCTAGTCCTTTATCTTAGTCACTATCTTTACAACTTCCAGTTCTTGTAAACACTCATTCTATGATTACAAGAGCAAAGGTAGGTATTCATAAACCCAAGGTGTTCACTGCCACTAAACACTTTCTTCCACCCACTGTTGATCATCTTACAACATTACCTACCACTTCATCAACTTTTCTCCAAGCTTCTAAGCATTCTCACTGGATGGAAGCTATGCAATCTGAATTTCAAGCTTTACAGTCCATTGGCACTTGGGAGTTAGTTCCTAATAATTCAAATTACAAACTTGTAGGTTGCAAGTGGGTCTTCAAAGTCAAGCACAAACCAGATAGTACCATTGAAAGGTACAAAGCAAGACTTGTTGCTAAAGGTTTCCATCAACAGGAAGGATTGAATTTTTCAGAAACCTTTAGTTTTGTTGCTAAACCTACTACCATCAGAATCTTACTCTCTATTGCAGTTACCTATGATTGGTTTGTACATGAATTGGATGTAAGTAATGCTTTCCTTCATGGTCACTTAAAGGAAGATGTTTATATGCTCCAACCTCCTGTTTTGTGGATCCTTCCAAACCTCATCATGTGTGCAAGCTTAGGAAATTCCTCTATGGCCTTAAACAGGCCCATAGAGTTTAGTATGAGGTTTTTTACAGTGTTATTCTCTCTCTGGGTTTAGTTCATCATACTTTGATACCACTCTCTTTATTAAAAGAGACACTTCCATTACCTTTATATTGGTTTTATGTTGATATAATCATCATTGGAAGTTCAACCACTGAGTGTTAATCAATCATATCCAAACTTCAAGCCATGTTCCCTGTTAAGGATCTGGGAGATATTCATTACTTTTTAGGTATTGAAGTACACAGATCTGATAAGGGCTTGTTAATGCATCAGACTAAGTATGCTTCAGACTTACTAAAAACGACAGATATGCGTGGAGCTAAACCTTATGCAACACCTGTGTCTACTTTTAAACTAGACCATTCATGTACTCTTCTATTTGATCACACCTCTTATAGGTCCACATTTACTACCTTACAATATCTCACTTGGACAAGGCCTGATTTAGCCTTTGCTGTCAATCAGGTTTGCCAATATATGCAATCTCCAAGAACAATACATTTGCAGGCAGTTAAACGCATCCTGAGATATCTTAAGGGCATTATGGATTCAAGACTTTGGTTTACTAGAGGTACTCAATGTCTCACTGTTTGGTTTGATGTAGATTGGGCAAGCTGCCCTGTGGATAGAAGGTCCACTAGTGGGTATTATGTGTTATTAGGCCTTAATCTAATCTCCTAGAGTGCTAAGAAACAAGCCACAGTGGCTAGGTCATCAACAGAGGCTGAGTACAAGTCTCTTGCTAATACTGCTGCTGAGATTACATGGGTGTGCAAAATTCTGCATGATATATCCTTCCCTCCGTTAAAGACACCAGTCATCTACTGTGATAACAAAAGTGTCATTGCTCTTGCATTCAATCCAGTTTTCCATGCTAGAACTAAGCATGTTAAAATTGACTATCACTATATTCAAGAGAAGGTTTTACTTGGTCATATTGGTGTTCAACATGTTGCTTCCCTTCTCCAAATTGCAGACATTTTTACCAAGTCTTTAGCTGCTGATCGATTTGCTGCTCTTACTTACAAGCTTTTAGTTCAATCACCTTTCTTCAGCTTGAAGGGGTGTGTTAAGAGTACAACTTCACATAGCAGCAATGCATCACAACCACCACCAGATTATATTCTTTTACTTAGTTGTTAAGCTTGGAATGTTTGTGATTAGTTATATATATTATGCTGAGCTAGCACATATGTTGGGATATGATATTTATGTATAAATACCATGTGTATTATTCAGTTGAAGTAATGAGAACCACAATTATATTTTGCTCTCCCTCTCTACAATTCTCTCTCTCTTTCTCTCTTAATTGAATTTCCCACTTTAAATTCTTAGCTTCAACAATTTAGTCAACAACTAGAAAGTAAGTTATCTCCTTCCCGCTCAGAGGATTAGAAAGAGTTAACTCTCGGGTAGAACGACCCCCATGTCCCCTATCTTTTGTAATTTTATTTAAAAATACACACATGTGAGGGGAGGAAGCTGAAACCCGCGAAGAAAAAAACAGCAAATCAATGAAAAAGGAAAACTAGACGAAGAAACTTCCGTGAACCAAAACAATACATTCAACGGTTCTCATGTTTTTGGCATAATTTTTGTACCCACATTATAAAATGTTGTGCCAAAAATATAAGGTGACAAAGAATCTATAAAGAGTCACATTTTAAAGAGAGTTTCTTCAGCATTTCTCTATTTACATAACTTATTCTAATCGTCAAATAAAGATTGTATCAAATACATGTATATTATAATTAATATTTATGCGATTAAGTAAATTCTGGATGAATTAGGTATTAAATTACCGAATATTACAGTGATTTGATTCATTCCTATTGAACTTTGTTGTATTAATTGAAGATCAAGTTTCTTTTTCTGATAGTTCACCATAAATAAACCCACTGATAGTTGGCAAGTGCTGATTGTGAAAGAAAAGGAAGGAAAAAAAAAATAACAAAAAAGCAAAATTAGGGTTTTTACCTAAACCCGCGCGAGCCGCAGCTTGTGGTCACTACCTCACTCCGCTCTTCCACTCACTTCCGTCTCCCTCCGCTGATGGCCGCCCCGGAAGATTCGCTCCGTAAGGCTCTCGCCGACAAGCAGTCGGAGGTTGAAAGCCAGGGGAGCCAAGTGCGGGCTTTGAAGGACCGCAAGGCTGACAAGTCGGAAATTGATGCCGCCATTGCAGCTCTGAATGCGCTCAAGCTGGAGAAAGCTTCGATCGAGAAGGACCTCCAGGCCACATTGAGCAGCGGCGAAGGGTCCGGTAACAAGGAGGCGTTCCGTCAGGCGGTGTCGAATACGCTTGAACGGCGTCTCTTCTACATCAAGTCTTTCAACATCTACGGTGGCGTTGCGGGATTGTATGACTACGGTCCGCCCGGTTGCGCCGTCAAGTCCAATGTGCTAGCTTTTTGGCGGCAGGTTCGATTAACTTCATTGCTCTATTTTTTTTTTTTTTGCTTAATTCGTGCTGAGTTTGTTAGATGCATTGACATGCATAAACTTAAATCATCGGTTTTTTCAAATTAATGCTGCGAATCAAGTGGCTGTAAAAAGTATATAATTCTATGAATTTGTGCTTTGACAGTGTGATTTCTTCCGTCAAATTATTGTAAATTCAGTAATCAGCTAATGGGATGCTATAAATTTGTGTGTAGTTTGTTTTTCACAAATTGCTTATAGAGAACGGTAACAAGCTTTTCGGTTTCTGAAGAGCATCACAAATGAGGGGAAGGAATGGATAATCATTGACTTTTAATGTTTTTATTTGGTTTGCAGCATTTTGTTCTTGAGGAGAACATGCTGGAAGTTGACTGCCCCTGTGTTACACCCGAGGTGGTTCTGAAGGCATCTGGCCATGTCGAAAAATTCACTGATCTTATGGTGAAAGACGAGAAAACTGGGACTTGCTACCGAGCGGATCACTTGCTGAAGGATTTTTGTAATGATAAGCTTCAAAAGGATCTCAACATTACTGCAGAGAAGGCCAAGGAGCTTAAACATATACTTGCGGTGTTGGATGATCTCTCACCTGAAGATCTAGGTGCAAAGATTAAGGAGTTTGGTATTACTGCCCCTGACACGAAGAATCCTCTATCTGATCCTTATCCTTTCAACCTGATGTTTCAAACTTCAATTGGTCCATCTGGCTTGATCCCTGGGTGAGCACTCATATGCATAAACGACATTTTGAATTTGTTTCTATAATGTTAGAATCAATACCTATGGATTGCGAGAGATTTTTTCCGCTTTGTTGTTCTTGTTTCATGTATTTCTTTGTTGTACTGCAGGTATTTGCGTCCAGAAACTGCCCAAGGCATATTTGTGAATTTTAAGGATCTGTATTATTACAATGGCAACAAACTTCCTTTCGCTGCAGCTCAAATTGGGCAGGCCTTTAGAAATGAGGTTATAGTCTCTTCCCTTATGATTTTAGAAAAAAGATCATGCATGCTTTTGTCGGGCCATAAATGGTTGTGGTACTGAGAATTTTGTATAACACTTTCACTGTTTATTTTTTCTTACCAATTTAAAAGGTCTTTTTTTTTTTTTTTTTTTTTCCCGAAGATTTAAAAGGTCATTTGACTTGTGTTTTGCCTATATTAAATACTCAATTCCTAACAAGTTAATGTGTGCACAGATATCTCCTCGCCAAGGCCTTCTGAGAGTTCGGGAATTTACACTGGCAGAGATTGAGCATTTTGTAGATCCCGAAGACAAATCTCACCCAAAGTTCACAGAGGTTGCAGAGTTGGAGTTTTTGATGTTCCCTAGGGAATTGCAAATGTCAGGGGAATCTGCAAAGACAATCCGTTTGGGTGAATCAGTTGCTAAGGTTGGATTCCATAAAATATCTTTACCATTTTGTTCATTTTTATATCGTAGTTTGACATTGCTGCAATTTCACTTGATTTAGGGAATTGTCAACAATGAAACTTTGGGCTACTTCATTGGAAGAGTATATCTTTTCCTTACTCGTTTAGGTATGGACAAGAAACGGTTAAGGTTCCGTCAGCACCTTGCAAATGAAATGGCTCACTATGCTGCTGATTGCTGGGATGCTGAGATTGAGAGTTCCTATGGCTGGATTGAGTGTGTTGGTATAGCTGATAGATCTGCATTTGACTTGCGTGCTCATACAGTAAGGATTTATTAGATATCTTTTAGTAAACTCTAACTACAGATTACTTTTTATTGATCATTATGTTGAGATACTACGATTGTAAAAAATGTTGACTGATTTTTGGTTTCATTGGTAGTGTCTTGCTTTAGTGGCATTTTAGTTCGGAATTTTAAAACTTGGGGTGTTATCTGTGAAACTGTTTTACGAACACGAAAGGAGCCTTAGAACATAAAGTGATGCTAAGGCTTTACCCTACTTTGATTTAGAAAGCTATGTGTTTATGGAGTGTTGTTTTTCTTTTATGACAGGAGAAAAGTGGTGAAGCTCTTGTGGCTCATGAAAAATATCCAGAACCAAGAGAAGTAGAGGTAATGTTTTATGCAGTGCAGACCATGCACACCATTGTTGTTATTAGTAAACTTGATTTCCTGACTTCACCTGTAGGAAGAACAGTATCATTTTTTTACTTGTTATGTAATTTTTAGGTATTGGTCATAACTCCAGTAAAGAAAGAGATCGGCCTTGCATTCAAGGGGAACCAAAAGAATGTAATTGAAGCGTTGGAGGTGAATATAGAATACTCTCTTTTGATTCTTCATCTCATAGTTCTGTTCAATATAGTTGTTGTGTTAATGTATTAAGTTATTCATTTCAGTCCATGAAAGAACAAGAAGCTATGGCACTGAAGGCTGATTTAGAGTCTAAAGGGGAGGTGGAGTTTTACGTCTGCACTCTGGGGAAGAATGTAATCGTTAAGAAGAGTATGGTAAAAATTTCAAAGGAGAAAAAGAAAGAACACCAGAGAGTATTCACGCCTTCTGTAATTGAACCATCTTTCGGTATCGGCCGAATTATATATTGCCTCTTTGAGCACACGTACTACACGAGGCCTAGTAAAGCTGCTGATCAACAGTTGAATGTTTTTGGTTTCCCCCCACTTGTGGCACCCATCAAGTGCACAGTTTTCCCTCTGGTTCAGAACCATCAGTATGAGGATGTTGCTAAAGAAATTTCCAAGTCATTGACTGCTGCTGGAATCTCGCATAAAATTGACATTACAGGTATGGAAATAAGACAATTATCTCTGTTTGTTTCTTTGGCATGTAGGAAGTATAAACGGGTAAGTAGCTAGATGCATCTTGTGATGATAGCTGTTGATGTGTGGGTAGCCTTATACAAACATATTTTCTAGATTGCAGTAATGCAAGCTTATCCGTTAATTTTGTTTATATTTCATGATCCTCTTTCCGTATTGTTATTTTAAATATCTTGAATTATCTGCAAATATAAATGCGTAGCTTCTAGCTTGTATAGATGGAGATGTGTGGTTATGTAGGTATAGTTGGAGATAAACATGTTAGATGATTGCTGCAGTGCCAAGTTTAATTTTTAGTTTTGGCTTATTTCATTGGATTTTGCTCTGCAAGTATTGGATGTTACCAGTGACGTCGGCTAAATCCACTTGAGGGCGTTTTGTGACATCCTCTTACCATAGACTTGCTGTATTGAATTGCAAGAGTGAAATATGGACATAATAGTTAGTTAGTCCGTTTATTGTAGACTGGTAGTAGGGTTCGGTAGTAGTAAGTTACTTATTCTGCACCAACATGATTGTATATATGCATAATTTTTGAAGCCTATTTTCAATCAGTTTTGAGTTTCTAACGGTTTGATTGTTTATTCGATCAGGTACCTCGATTGGGAAAAGATATGCTCGAACAGATGAACTGGGTGTACCTTTTGCAATCACGGTTGATTCAACATCATCGGTGACACTGAGAGAGAGGGACAGCAAGGATCAAATCCGTGTTGATGTGAAAGAGGCAGCATCTGTGGTGAAGGATGTAGCTGAGGGAGTGAGGAGCTGGGCTGATGTGTGGGAGACTTTCCCCCATCATTCTTCTGCATCTGCAGATGAGTAGATTTCGGGTGGATTTAACACTACGTGGATCCAAACATACAATACCGTTTTGTTGAGTTGGAAATGTTATTACTACACAAAGGCGACGACGTTGTTGAAGCACAGCCAACTAATTGGAGAGATGCTTGTTCTTAAATTATGTGTAGCAAGAGGCCGAAGCCTGAATTTGACATGCTACAAGTTTTGATTTTTCATATTTTCTTCATCAACTGGCAGCTTAGAACTTGGGTGATCTACATTACATGAGTGCGGTAATGTGCTTGAACCACTAATTTACCAGTTTCATGTAATTATTTTAGAAGCCGCCTCGTGTCGATATGCTTTGGATTGAAGAATGGAGAGGCATCGGTGAATGTTTTCGTGAGAAGGGAAAAGGATCCTCCTGATCCCGTCATCGTGCGGTTAGAAAATTAAATGAACAAACACGATTACGAGATCTTCGGATCCTCAGTAAAAGGATTCGGCGATGATCATTTTTCCGTGAAAGGCGAAAAAACTAAGCTGGTAAATAGGATTGGGGATACGAAAAGGGTAGATTATTAGTCTAATCATTCTTCAATGAGAAGATTGATTGAAATTTGAGTCGATCGAAAACTAATCATTTTACTCCTTTTTATCTGTCGCTCATAATTTTCTTAAAGAAGAGTATATTATTCATCTATTTTTTTGGTTTTTTAGTAATTAATTAAAAAGCCCATTAATGAAATAAAAAAACATTTATTTCAATAAACAAAGGAAACCAAAAAATTAATCAATTTTATAATAAGAATTGTCAACAGACTTTGAGAGATTCTTTATATATATTACTTATGCCATCGTTTATGGGACGACGACGTTTTTGGCCCGTATATGTTGGGGTTGGACTTTGCTATGGTGGTCAAATAGCCCAAAAAAGGAAAAACAAAAAGAAGAAAGAAAAAAGCATTTGTGATTTGTTGGTGACGTCGAGACTCGAGGGGGCTGAGGCCATTGGTACCGAGCGATTGCAGAAGAGGAAAATGCTGAGGGTCGCGGGAAGAAGGCTTTCATCTTCCGCCGCAGCGTGGCGGTCGTCGTCGCAGACCACCCCCGCCTTCGTCTCCGGCGGATCCCATCCGCTTTTCAGTACCAACAACAACAGCGACGACTCTTCCTCCGATTTCGCTTCCAGATCCCCCGCCCCCTTTTTCCTCAATTCCAAAATTCCATCTCTCATTAGAGGTCAGCGCTCATACCGTACCTTCTTCAGATGTATTTAGGGTTTGATTCTATTCAATCGGTTGTGCTTGTTCAATCCAATCACGGCTCTAATTTTTTAGATTTTGAAATTGAAATTGATTTATAGTGGTTGGGATTTTATTTTAAAAAATTATTCTTTTCATTTCTGTGATTATTTGCTAATTTTTTTATTTTCAATCTAATGATTTGTGCAAATTTTTTCGATCCATTTGTTTCCAAGGTACGATCTTTGGTTAAATCGAAATGGAAATTTAACATTTCTAATTGGATACGTCACCGTATGCGGGATCCTTTTCGATTTGTTAATCCATAGTATTTGTATTTGCTCCGTATCGATGTTTTTGCAATTTGATTTTGGTGCATTTCAAGACTTGATTGGAGATTATATTGCCGAATACACTTTTTTTTTTTTATTAGTTTAGCAGGATATGCATTAATTGTTGTTTGAATCTCTTCTTAGTAATGTTGTGCTTTGTCTATTGAGATTGAAAGAAGTCCGCATTAATAAAATGACAAAAAAAAAAAAAAAAGAGTCTATTTTGTTAGCCTTTTTTTTTTTTTTTTTTTTTTTTCTTCAACTTATATTCATTTCTTTAAGGATTCCAGTTCCTGAAAAAAAAGATGGTAACTTTTAGGTTTTAATAAATGAGATTCCTTTAAGGATTATGGTTTACTACACAAGTTCTGTTGATAGTATGATACAATGTCGAGTCGAGACTTGGGCGTCATGTGGCACTGATTTATCTTGTTAGCTTCTGGATATGTAGATAGGTAGGTCGATATTTGGGACAGCTGCTGTAACCAAGGGTTGGATGATGAACCCATGTCTTCTGTCTAGAGTCATAACTTGCATTCAGTCTCTGTACTATACAGATGTTACATATGAGTTGTACCCACGCTCTCTGGCTGGAGTTGGAAGGTCATTACGTTTTGTTATAATCTAGCTATTTTAGTTTTTTTGCTAAATGCCAATAGTTAGTAATTTGATTGGAAAGTGCCTTGCTGAATGTTGATACGCTTTTCTCGTTAGGTGTAGATTGGGAAATGTGATGTTTCTTCACATGGTATTTTGGAAATTGTTTGCATGAGATTCAATAGTATATGGAACTTGTTTGCTGAATGGTTGGTTCTTCATTTCAGGATTTTCCTCTGAAGCCCTCGCTCCTGGAAATGATATTGGTTTTCTCTCAGACGTCCCAGCTACCGTGGCAGCTGCGAAGAATCCTTCTTCAAAAATTGTGTATGATGAGTACAACCATGAAAGGTATCCACCTGGTGACCCCAGCAAGCGTGCATTTGCTTATTTTGTCTTGACAGGAGGCAGATTTGTGTATGCCTCCTTAATCCGGCTTCTCATCCTCAAGTTTGTACTGAGCATGTCTGCCAGCAAAGATGTTCTTGCCCTTGCTTCCCTTGAGGTTGACCTATCGAGCATTGAGCCTGGTACTACTGTTACTGTCAAGTGGAGAGGGAAGCCTGTTTTCATTAGGCGTAGAACTGAAGATGACATCAAGTTGGCTAACAGTGTAGATGTTCAGTCCCTTCGTGATCCCCAACATGATGCAGAGAGGGTTACAAATCCAGAATGGCTTATTGTTGTCGGGGTCTGCACTCACTTAGGGTGCATCCCCTTGCCAAATGCTGGTGATTTTGGTGGTTGGTTCTGCCCATGCCATGGTTCGCACTACGACATTTCTGGCAGGATCCGCAAGGGGCCTGCACCATTCAATCTAGAGGTACCCACTTACAGTTTTTTGGCGGAGAACAAGCTACTGATCGGATGAGAATTGCCTGGCAGTCTTTTTTCTTTTTTCTTTTCTGGTGCATCATTTGACATGAGGTTTCATAATTCATAGCTTCCTCTACATCAGGGAAAGTGATGTTTGCAAACTTAATACTTTCTTTAGTCATGATTTACACATTTGGATTCTGTAACACTGTCGGTTCTGGATGGAGTTCTGATGTCTGAATAATACAATTAAACTGATGTTCACCATGTGTAGTTTTCATGTTACTTCGGTTGATTCAATCGAATAATTGAAGCTTGAGACAAATTCATACTTACACCTTGCTTACACCATTAAATTGTGTCGTTGACAGATCCATCCATACTTACCAGCTTGAGGTCCCCTAAGCCCTAACTAAACTGCCGTCCGATGAGGCTACTTATTTCGGACCACCCGAGTAAATAGAATTCGAATCTAATTAGGTTTCCTAATTTGGTATAGATTCCTTCCTAGTTTGGTTTGGAGTACTTTAATATTGATTGTACCACTAGATGTGGATGTGTATTACCTCCGAGAGGAAGAAATATACAAGGAAAAGAATTAAACCCTAGTTTCAACTTTTATCTTGATACCAGAGCAGGTTTCAGCTTGTCTCTTCCTCTAAACCCTAGCCACTGCTAACTTGAAAGCTCTTGTTGGCTTAATAAACCGTCTACAGACACAGATCAAGAGTGTGGTGTCTTGAGACAACAGGCTCATGCTAAAACCAAACTCCAAAAACTACAAACCTGCTGTTTCGATGGCTGAAAACAAAGTTGTGCTTCCAGTTATGGCTCCTGCTTCAAACGAATCTCCCAACCTGAGTGTCCTACCGTTCGGATTCAAGTTAAAGGATTCGAACTATGAAATTTGGTCAAGGATGATGGAAGTTCATGTTGAAGGTTTGAATATGATGGGATATCTCAATGGATACTCTAGGCAGTTGAAGAGACAGAACCTGGGTTCTCAAAGTGGCACACAGAGGATGCGATTGTCCGAGGATGGCTGCTGAAAACCATGGAACCGCATTTGCTTGGGTTGTTTATCGAGTTACCAATTGCACATGACATTTGGGAGAGCATTACCCAAATGTTTAATGACGAGGCAGACAAGTCCCAATATTATGAGTTAAGGTGCATGGCAACGAGGACAAGGCAAAACGAGGGTCCAGTGAATATCTACTTTGCAGAATTGAAGTGTATGGCAAGAGATGGATAAACAACGTCCCAATAAGATGGTGTGCGCAACTGACCTGAAGAGTAGGGAGGATGATCTCCAGAAGGACAGGGTGTATGACTTTCTTGCGGGACTAGATGACTTGTTCGATGCAGTACCAAGTACTCTTCTCTGAAAGAAACCTGTCCCTGGAATAGAGGAGTGCTTCAACACCATTCAGCGAGAAGCACAAAGGAAGACCATCATGCTGGAAGGGAAGGATGATGGCAGCGGTCCTTCTATGGCCATGGTTAGTAAGCCCTTCTCTGGGTCATCACATGTTGTACGAGACTTTGAGGATGCTGAGAAGGACAAACTTCGATACAGCCACTGCAATGGAACCCGTTATACGAATGAGACATGTTTTGAAATCCATGGTCACCCAGAATGGTTCCTGGAACAGATGAAACAGAACAAGGGGAATACCAACAACAAACATCCATCACAAGCCAAAATCTTTGAAGCTGGACCTGGACTTGCTGCCATTGCCGCTAGTTATGATGGGCCTGGAGTTCGAAGTCCAGTCGTGGAACAAAGGGCTATTGATGCTGTTTTTCAAGGCCCACTGGCATGACAAGAGCAAGGCTCGGATCCAGAAGACCTACGCTCACAAATTTCCCTCTTAAATTTGATCTCCTCAAATGAGCCATCTAATGGTATAGGTAACATGAGCACTGCCGTTATTGCATTTGCATCTGTTGATCATAATACAGGTTGGATTATTAACTTGGGGACTACCGATCATATGACTTATGATTATACCCTCTTAACTCCACGGTACCACCATTATGGAATAGTATTGTCACGGCTAATGGGGTTGTTGCCCTGGTTACTACACTTACCCTCTTACACAACTGTTTAATTGTTCCCACCTTTTCCAGTAATCTATTATATGTGCGCCAAGTCACTAAGCAGTTAAATTGTGTTGTGCTAATGTCTCCTACTTTCTGTTTACTTCAGGATATTCGAGCCCAAGTGATTATTGGGCCTGGTACTAAGAGAAGGGGGTTGTACTATGTGGATGATGTTTTGCAGGGTCGTGTTCATCAAGTTCAAAGTTGTAACAATGGACAGATGAAGATTGTTCAGTTATAGCATCTTCGACTGGGTCATGCATCATTTCGTTAGTTCATAATGTTTCAGATTCTTCCTTAAAGTGTAATATTTACATCTTAGCTAAAAGTCATCGTGTTTCTTATTCTCCGAGTTTAATAAAAGAACAATTCCTTTTGACTTAATTCATTCTGATGCATGGGGGCCATCTACAATTATTATTTACCATGGAATACATTGGTTTATAATGTTTGTTGATGATTGCACCATAATGACTTGGTTATATCTCATGAAAAATAAAAGTGATGTGGGTGAAATCTTCAAAAAGTTCTATCACATGGTTTGCAATCAATATTTGCTTCCTGTTAAAGTTCTTAGTTCAGATAATGGTGGCGAATATCTTGATCACGACATTTCCCAATCCTTCTAGGACAACGACATTCTCCATGAGTGCTTGTGCACCTAAAACATATTGGACTGATGCAATGACCTATATTGTTTATCTTATGAACCGCATGCCATTGTGTCTCACTCTTTTCAAACACCTTTGGCCATGCTTGCAGACCATGTCACGCTTTCTTCCACCCTTCACCTGGAACCACGAGTTTTTTGATATGTGGCATACACCCATCTCCACAAAAACCAATCCGTGTGCACTACAGTGTGTTTTTCTTGGGTTCAATACTCAACAAAAAGGCTATTGGTGTTATCATCCACCTACACGGTATATGTATGCCACCATAGATGTCACCTTTTGTGAAGATGAATTATTTTTTCTCCCCAGGCATGCTCCTCAGAGGGAGACATGCATCTGTTGCTAGTTCGATGTACCAAAGCCTGCTGCCTCAGAACTGCCCAACGAGACAAGACCACAACCTCAGGGGGGGAGACTTGGACCGTGACTGTTTCCCCAATCCAAATGGGCTTGCTAGTCAAGAACAGATTAAAACCCACCCTCTCCCACTCTTCACGGACTCGTCCATTATCAAACGGATATCCTTGAGATAAGTACTAAATCTATAAATTTTCAACCAATTTATGTGTTACTTTCTAGATAGAATTGATGACTCAAATACTTCCTAGGAATTGAAGTTGCCCGGTCTTACGAAGAATATACTTGTCACAATGTAAGTATGTCTTGGACCTTTTATATGACTGATATGCTGGCATGTCAACAATAGATACTCCTATCGTGCATAATCATAATTTTGCAATTTATCAAGTCCTAACTAATGAGGAGAGGTAGTGGGAAGATTGATTTATTTGTTACTCACAAGTCCAGATATTGCTTATGCAGTAAGTATGGTCAGTCAATTTATGCATGCTCCGAGCGAGGACCATAAATGGCAATAATGTGAATGCTAAGTTACTTGAAAGGTGCTTCAGGAAAAAGGTTGATGTATAGAAAAATATAGGCATATGCAGATGAAAGGGCACACTGATGCAGATTAGGCTGGAAGTATAATTGATCGGTGTTCTACATTAGGGTACTTTACGTTTGTAGCCGGACACCTTGTGACCTGGAGGAGTAAGAAATAAAATGTGGTGGTAAGGTCATCAGCAGAAGCCGAGTAAGGAATAGCACATGGTATCTGCGAACTCCTATAGCTTATGATTCTACTTACCGAGATAGGATTCAAGCCCAAGGGATCTACGTTGTACTATGATAATCAAGTTGCACGGGAAATGGCTAACAATCCAATACAACATGATAAGACCAATCATGTTGAGGTAGATAGACCCTTCATAAAAGAGAAGCAGGATGCTAAGTGTTGGAAATTTTGAGTAGAAATTTCATTGTCCCACATTGGCCATTCTTAAAAGGTTTCTTCACTTTATAAGGTTTTGTCTCTTATAGATAGTGATTGGCGTAATGGATCTTTGAGAATGAAATTGGGCTCAACCTTGGGGTTGGGCTTTGGGGTGTACTAATTAATTGATAATTAATATATAATTAATTATCAAAAGATGGGCCTTGGGTTCAAAATAAATGTGTCTACATTACGAGTAATGATAAAACTTGCGTTATTGTGTGCTTGTATGTGGATGATATGCTCATAATGGGAAGCGATAAAGATGTAATAAACAAAACAAAGAAAATGTTGAATTCAAATTTTAACATGAAAGACTTAGGTCAAGCCGATGTCATTTTAGGAATTCAAATTAAGAGAGATAGTGAAGGGTATGTCCTTACACAATCCTATTATGCAGAAAAAATATTACGAATGTTTGGTCAATTTGACTGCAAACCTGCTGCAACTCCTTTTGATGCTGGATGCAAGTTGGAGAAGAATAAAGGCAATGGCATATCTCAACTTGAATATTCTCAATTAATTGGAAGTCTAATGTACTTGATGAATTCAACTAGGCCTGACTTAGCTTATGCAGTAAGTAAGCTTAGTAGATATACAAGTAATCTGGCACAAGAGCATTGGGATGCTTTAGTAAGAATGTTAAGATATTTGAAAAATACAATTAACTACGGATTACACTACACAAAGTATCCACCTGTTGTAGAAGGCTTCAGTGATGCCAATTGGATTTCTGACACTACAGAATCCAAGTCAACAAGTGGATATGTTTTTACCTTGGGAGGTGCAGCAATATCTTGGAAATCCTCTAAATAGAAATGTATAGCTCGGTTCACCATGGAGTCAGAGTTTATAGCTTTAGACTTGGCTGAAGATGAAGCCGAGTGGCTTAAACATTTTCTGGATGATATTCCAGTGTGGCCAAAGCCTGTAACTGCTATATGTATACATTATGACACTATGACCGCGCAATCAAGGGCCAAAAATCATGTATACTATGGAAAGTCGCGACACATCAGGCGTCGACATAATACTCTTAAGAAGTTGCTCTCCAATGGAATAATATCCATTGATTATGTAAAGTCAAAGGAAAATATAGCTGATCTTTTGACAAAAGGCCTACCAAGAGAGTAACTATTATTTATCTCGAGGGGAATGGGTCTCAAGCCAATTCAATGAATCGAACTGGGCGGAAACCTAACCTAACTGATTGGAGATCCCATGGTTTAGGTTCAATAGGCAAACTGGTTGAGTTTGATTCAAAAGTTGAACACACAACTTACCCATTCTTATGATAAAATGCGTGTTGTATGTTGAGTTTGAGGGGTTATGTTTTATACATTTAATGACATTAATATCTTGTTATCAAGAAGAATATGACAGACTATTCTTAATTAATGTCATCTATATAGGAGTAAATGGGGCCGCATTTATGAGAATTGAAATGGCTAAATTCTCTAAAGCTTCTACGAAATCCAGGATCTGTTCAAGGCCAAAATGAACACAATCGTATGAATTAACGTGTGGCAGACGTGATATGCGTGTAGCATATTGTCTCGGTTTACTATTGCGGTGAACAGTTCAAAATCTTCCACATCCATTGCATCACCAAGTAAACCCGATATGTTTTCACTAGGGTAAGTTCAAGTCCAAAAGACACTTCACTTGATGCATATCATGTCTATTATCTCTCAGTTTTGGGCAGCCTAGTCATACATTTGCATTCAAATGTGGGGTATTGTTGGAGTTTGAATGAAATTTCAACTCAAATGTGGGGTGTTGTTGGAAATTTTGAGTAGAAATTTCATTGTCCCATATTGGCCATTCCTAAAAGGTTTCCTCACTTTATAAGGTTTTTGTCTCTTATAGAAAGTGATTGAAGTAATGGACCTTTGAGAATGAAATTGGGCTCAACCTTGGGGTTGGGCTTTGGGGTATACTCAAAAGATGGGTCTTGGGCCTCTTGGGCTCTGAAAATTAAATTCTTTAATTAATTATTATTTTTTAATTAATTAAAGAATTTAATTAAATTATTTTTGAACAGACTCATCTTTTCAGAAGAAGTCTGAAGCCAATGGAAAAACGCAGAGAGCACAGCATCCCTCTGAAGAGATGTCTCCCAACAGTCACATCTCATTCTCATACCTGTTGCGAACAAGCATAATTCCACTATATATACATCCATCTGCATAGCATTTAGAACACATAAATTATCAAATTCTTCTTCTACATTCCTAAACCTTCTTACTGACAGAATCGCACATAAATTCGCTAGAAGTTAAATTTTTCGGTGCTGGAATTCTAACTTGATTGTTGAATCCTGGTGAAGTAGACGTTCATGGAACTACAAGCACTGAGTAGGGACGAAATTTCTATTTCAAGGACATTGCGGTACGCAAGCCTCGATCTTCAAGTTGTCTGTTTTATATTTTTGTTTTGTTTATACTCTGTTAATTTCCTATTCGCATTTATTATTTATTAGCATATATAATTTTATCACAGATTGTTGACATATATCTAACACTAAGTTGGTTGATATTCCATTTGTGAGGACTGAAGAACAATTGGCAGATATCCTAACACATGCCATTCTTACTAGAAGATTTCGTGATTCATTGGACAAGTTAGGCTTAGGAGAAATCTGCAAACTAACTTGGGGGAGAGTATTGGCATGAGTCAACCAAATAGAATTGTAATGTAATTAGGTTTCTTAATTTGGTGTAGATTCCTTCCTACATTAGCTTGGAGTCCTTTAATATGTGCTTGTACCACAAGATGTGGATGTGTGTGTGTGTGTGTGTGTGCGCGCGCGCATTACCTCCGAGAGGAAGAAATATACAACGAAAAGAATTAAACCCTAGTTTCAAGTTTTATCTTGCAGTTATTTATATTTATCAAATTTAGTAAATGCAAGATGACTTCTATTCCATCTCTTGCAACGCCAGATGAAATGTTTCCGGAACCTGCACAACAATAGGTGGCTAGTTTTGCATTCGCCTTGGTATGTCCGTGGACGAAGGTCCAATAATCTGGGCAACCAAACGCTGCTAATTTCGATCGTTTACTTTCAGGCATTGCTCTTAAACTTACTCTGGCCAGCATTCCTTTGCTATAAGTTACAGTCCGACACATACATAAATGAAACTCACTAAAATCACAAAAACCGTCTTCCGTTGTAAGTTATCCCGACACATATGCAGTAGTAAATCACAATGCAATAGGCGGACAAATAATGGCGTACAAGTAGTAGAACATAAGGGCAACAACTTCTTCTCATGAAGAAATTGGCAGAGTCTTCGGATAGGAACTAATAAGAGTTTACATCCACATGTATTTAAGAAAAGAAGCTAGCAGTTTTGGATAGGAACTAATGGCAGTTTGCCTCCATATACCTCTGGGAGCTGGCTCTCATCGATATCTTTCAGCAAGGTTGAGTTCAGCTTTTTGTTTTCGACAAAAATGATCTGCAACGATACATGGTAAACAGAAGATTTAGTTATAACGTGATGTTGAACAAACAAAAGTATCTCCCTTGAGCCTCCAGGTCTGACAGTGCATCAAATTATTTTCCTCACGAGGTTCATGACATATTCAACGTTTCTCGTTTAACTACATTAACAATGTTAGCATTATCCAAGCAGTCTAGTGGTACTTCTCTTCCCAATGTTGGAAGGGGTCTTGATTTCATATCTCTACTCCCCCGTTGACCACAAGAAAAAGAAAGATTACGGTAGGGGCTGCAAATTAGTTTACCTTCTTTTTGGTTTTGCTGTCAATAAATGGGTAAACCATCTTCCAAGCAGTCATGAATACATAAGGCACATGGACAAGAAATAACTTGCCAAGCCTCTCCGGGTAGCAGTCCTGCCCAAGACAACAAAGTGCAGATGCAAAAGCAAAATCACACAATTGAACAGAACGGATACACACACTCCGATTGCATTCATTCACCAAATCAATTAAAGATAACTATTTAAAATCTCGTTAGATAAAATGGATCGAGCTAATTTGAACCTGTAAGATTGTCAGAGCTGCCAAGTATCCACGAACATCGCTATTGGTATATCCCCATCCTTCAATATCTGCAATGGACACAAACTTTTCCTTTCCTGCTGGCATTCTGAAAGATAAAGCCAACATATTACATATGAGTCTATGACATAGCAGTTCACATCTCAACTCTTACCAGGTTAACTTCGTAATACAATCGTTCTGCGCTCATTCAAAGATATCGATAATCCATCAAAACTATCATACTAAAATGATTGAACCACCAAAAATACATTGTCATAACGAAGATTGAGTTACCTGGAACATATTTTTTCAAGAGTGTAGACTACAAAACCTGCAAAGGGCAATGTCAAAAACTTAAAACTGAATGCATATCTCAGAATCTCATCTCAAATCCAAAATATATGCAGTCTCATAAATTATCAGAGTCCCCGAAAATGTAGTACGTACGTTTGAACTCTTCGAGTGTGGTCTGCTTATGCCGCCCACCATACACAACCACAATGGGGCGTCCCGTCTTGTCCACACCTTGCATAAACAGCTTGTTCTGAGCAAGTTGTTTTGGAATCTCTGACTCCGAGATTGAACCATTTGGCACAAATGACTTCTTCCAACTCAGATACTTGAGGAACATGTTAGTAGCCTTCTCAATATCCAGATCACGCGCCCGAAGAAATCTCCGAATCATGAAATCATCCACATCCTGCATAACAGCACACCAGCACACCAGCATTATGCAAATGTATGAAGAATGCGAACAATGCGAGCAATCTAGATGCATATAAGGCCCACAGAGTGAATTAGGTATGCAAAAGCTTCAAATTAAACACTAATTTTAGGACTAACAAAAGTAATAAGTTTATGAATTTTCCTGGATTAACCAAAATTAAATTCTTACTTCCATAAGAAATTTGAGCACTAAACAATTCAATTGAACTCGGTTGCATTTCCTACCAAACCAATTTAACCACACTTGCTAGATATACAACAATCACAAACATCTGAAATCACAACCATTTTTAACATAAAAAATCTAAGCAAAAGTAGCGACATTGGACAGAAATGCTAACAAAATGGTACTTCTTCGGATTAATGAAGAACAAAATCTATAATCATCACATATAACTGACGTGAATTAGATCAGTTGGTTAAGCCAATGTGTCTGCCGTTACGACCAGATTTTAACCCTTTTTCTCGTAACTAGAGTAAATTAGAATATATATATATATATGTAAATAAATAAAAATCATTCAACAAAAGCAAAGGAGAAAAAAGAAAAAGAAAAAAAAAGAAGCAAAAAGAGGAAAGGGAAAGAGAGAGGAAGGAGTAATCCAATTCCAAATCCCAACCTTGGAGGAGGGATCTTCTCTTTCCACAAGTGCTCTCATGATTCCCATTTTGTTTCTCTCTATCTCGTCGCTCTCAAAGTTTGCTTCTTCTTCCACTTCCTCATATGCTTCTTCCATCCCTTTCCCACTCCCATTCCCGTTCGATGATTCCATTCTCTCTCTCTCTCTCTCTCTTCCAGCTAAATTTTCAATCCAATTATATTCAACCACCTCCTCTGTGATCTTCCCACTTCCTACCACAAAACCCAGCTTTCCAAATTCTTGATAAACATCTAGAGAGAGAGAGAGAGAGAGAGAGAGAGAGAGAGGACTTAAATGAAGGCAGTTGAGAATTGTCAATTGATGGCCGAGCTGAGTTGGTCTGCCTGCCGATCCCGGGAATTTGACGGACTCGTGAGATTCCGTCAAAACCAAACAAAACCAACTTACAAAATGTTTTGCGCCTCCCACTGTTGACTCTTGCTTGTGTACGTTGACTAACGCCCGTCACCGTTTCTCCGTTCCGTATATATTATAATTGAGCTTTATTACCGCCCCTTTGGTCTGACCGGAGTTCGGCCAACTAACCAAACTCTATTACATGTCATTGTCATGATAATGACGTTGGTGGGCCAGGTGGGTCCCTTTCGTGTCAGCAAAAGCCGTTTTCTTGCTTGCGATGCCAAATTTTTTAAAGCGTCTCAAACGGTTTCCATCCTTGCTGGATTGGAACGTGATTTTTCCTTTCCTAACAGGATCCTATCCGAATCTGGTAAGGATCTTGGTAATATGTGAATCGTATTTATTTATCGTACATCATATAATTAATTTTTATTAAGTACGGTTTGTATTTATTTTGCAATAAAAATATTTAAAATAATTTTTTACCGCATGATGTATGATGAACGGATATGATTTATGGATTCTTGAGATTCTCAAAAAAATGATCATGCAATGATCCAGACTCTTTTCTTTTAATTCGAGTCAATGAAAATAATCTGATGTGGAAATTTTAGAACCATTAGATATTGTTGGACGGTTCAGATTAGAAGTCTGGTATAGTCTTGTTGGGAAGAAACTTGACAGAGGATTCGTCAAACAAGTAATTAACTTGTGATTAAAGTTTGTCTTGTTTTCCATTTCAAGGAAAATGAAACCACAACCTACTTTTATATGATTAGGAATTATTTCATCAAAGTCTAGACATATTAAAAAATGAAAATGCAGTAAGTGATTTCTTATTCTCAGATACTTTTTTCTGAAAACCGTCTTCAATGAAATGAATTTATTAATTTTACGATCTCTTTTGGCACGACAAATTTTTAGGAGCTCCATTAAATATCGTGTCAAGAAATCTCTCAGATTGGGAATTAATTACTGCCTTAAGAGAGATGTGTAATTGTAAGGTGTGTTCTATTCCACCCAATTGTGCCTTATTTATAGTAGTAGGGAAGATTAATTCCTTACCCTTTTAGGATTACAACTCTAATAGGATATTAACTACTAAAGGGAATATTCAAACATATATACACTAGGATTTACACAATCACATTCATATTTCAATAGGACTGCAACACCCCCTGAGTGTGTAAATACTCAAGTAAATGGCGCATCAGGTCTTCAGTTATGAAGTAAGTTTAATTGATGAAGTTGTTGACACAATGAGCGAATGTGAGTCTCAAATTAATGGAAGATTGCATAAAAAGGTAAAACTCACAAAATCTCACTATGGTAAAACCCAAGGTGGGAGAAAAACCATAGGCTAAGGAGAAAAGTGAGAAGTTGCATAAGGTCAAAACTATACATCTTCTGGATGTAGGTAGAAGAGCTCACAAATGTATGATCAGCCCAGGATGGGTGCCTCGTCAAAACCTAGTTAGGTAACAAAAACCCAGCGGGAAAAATGCCCCTAATCGTAGGGAAAAAGAGTACATTAAGATCAAATGAGTATACTTCTGGATACTCCCCCTAAGTTTGACAGAACTTCCAAATGAGAACTACAAGCATTGCATATGATAGTTAGACATATCAATTCCTCGAACAAGCTTCTGGAAGGTTAACTTCGGCAGTGACATCGTGTATAGGTCGGCAAGGTTGTTTAGGATTGGCTTGTGTGGCTTCAATCTCCTGATGCTTTGCTAATGTGATGTAAACGCAATATGTCTTGGCGTTGACTTCGTTGATGTATCATGTCTTGGTTGGGTGGATACATGCGGCATAGTCTTCATGGATCATTGTTGGGACTTAACGATGGATGAAAACAGCAAATACTTCAAATATACTCAACAAGAACTACTAACCATGTCTCACTTGTGGTGTAATGAAGTAAGGTGAGTCTTGGAACGATTCGAAGATTTCGCAACTAAGGTCATATCGTGGACCTCCAAGATATTACGATATCCCTAATGGTAAAGACATAACCATTCGGAGATTTTGCCTTGTGCTGATTTGATAAGTAACCAGCGTCAGTATAACAAACAAGGCAAGCATCATTCCGAGGATCAGGGGGTTGGATCGGCTCGAGATGCGTTGGAATTTGCCCAAAATCGCAGTACCTTCAGGGTACGTCTTTAATACCAATTAAGTGGTTGAGTGTAGGCGCGGTGTTGCATCTATACCAATTAGATCAACAACAAATAAGATGTCCTATATAATACAACGAGCTAAGTACAACGAAGCGTAAAGTTAAACTTAGATATGAAATTTCAAATTCCATAACCTCTTCAAGGGTCTCATTTGCATGTAACATATGGACGATCAAAGGTATACTCAAAGGTAACACATTCGGGGTGCGGTTCGACTGGTAGACCAAAGTACCGTCAGAACCATGCTTGAACTTCAGGTCATGGCATAAACAAGTTTTTTTAAGATCTTTCATCTCAAATTCCATCTTCAGGTGTGAAGCAGTTTTCACAAGCTCTTCAAGAGTCTTAGTGAGATTCGTGTTAATGATATAAATTGTAACTCTAGCAATTCGGAATAAGATTTCATAGTTTAACATGCAAGGGCATTCATTTATATCCTTGATTGATCAAATAATCACTTAGACAGGTATACCACATTCGTCAGAATGTTTCAATCCGTAAGTGAACGCCTTAAACAAGTTAAGAGGGTGTTCCGTGGTTTGAAACTATTTGAACCAGTCCATGTAATTATTCGGGAACTTACATGTCAATCTTCGTATCAATATCCCCATGTTGAAAATACTAACCATATTTCATAATGCTGCAATGAATCATAAGACGTTTGAGAGAAATCTTACGCAATAAGGCGTGCATCATATTGCACTATCTCATTCTTCTTATAATGCTTCCTTTCTCACTTGTAACACAACAGGGTTACCTTGGGCAGTGTAAGAACGATAGGTCCAAAACACACTTTAGTAAGGAATTTGACCAAGATTGTAATTTCAGTTGTCCAATCAGTTCTACATTGTCACTTAATCAATGGAACACGGTTCGATATTGTCGCTTTTCATTTATGTCTATAGCTACCATATATGAAAACATCATCAATGGTAATCTCATTTCAATTCCATTTTCTCATCTAAACTAGTATATTGGACCAAAAACTTCAAGCCTCGGGAGTAATCCAGATTAATCTTATGAGATGGAAATGATTTGAGATAGAGATCAAGTATAGATTCATTATTGTGCCGTGTCTTCCTCTTCTAGGGAAATGAATCCTATGAACCGAGTAATCTGTCGTGCTCCAGGCGAAGACAGATTGATTGACTATCCGCCGGTGTACTGGACCGTCCAACAGGGGCGGCACACCCTCCAAGGATGCTGTCTCAACGTCTGTTAAGTACGTCTATCCTTGCATGCATGTTTGTAGCTGGTATATGATCTCGTCACTTTAGCTAGATCAGAGAAATATGTTTGGAGCAACATTTTGAAAGCTAGAATTCATCGCACTTGCTTATCATACTTATGCGGTATAGGAATCGAGATGAGACATAGTGGGCAACGTCCATGCAAATTTGCATTGTTCTACAGGAATGTTGACGTTCTTATTTCCCCCAAACGATGAGAAGGCTGTTTCATTGAAATGACAAACCGCAAATGAGCGGTAAAGAGATCGCGTGCAAGGGCTTTAAGTGAGCTAGTGTGAAGGAGAATCATAATCAACAAAGATTCACATCCTTCTTTGAGAACCTATGTTGGTGCATTGCGATGGTGCAACTTGGCACATAGAATGCACGCTAAAATGCGTAAATACGAAAAACATCAGGTTCGTACCCAGTAACCAACTGTAACGTCAAATGGTTGGGTGGCAATGGGCCTCAAGATGGACTAACATAGTTGCGTACAAGATTGAATAGCCTTAGGCAGAAACCAAAAACTTGGTATGTCCACCAAGGTCTAGGCGATCATTTAAATTGCGCTTTATGATCACTAGGTGAGGATATTTTAGGTGAACATGGGAATTCGATGTTCAATTATAAACCAAAAAGACATGCAATACTTTATTGAAAACGTCAATATAAACTCTCCAACATTATCCAGTCTCCCAGACTTTAAGGGATAAGTAGGGTGGTGAACCTTTAATCGATCATGAGGTTTAGCAGCAATGTGTGTGGACAAACATATGTCCTAGTTTGTCGATTCATCAACCAAAACCATAAGTATTTATATGGTCTGCATTTTGGTTGGATTTGTCCACATATATTCCCTTGAATCCATATGAAAAGAGGTTTGTTGCGTATCTTTGCGAGGGATGATTTAGAAAATTAATTTCCCTAATGAGCAGGCTTGGCAAAGTGCGTTTATAGGCACAAGATCCTTACTTAGGGTAAGGAGATACGTTGTAGCATCATTGTTTGACCTAAATGTCCCAAATGGTCGTGCCAAAGCAAGTAAATTGCTTCAAGCTCATTTTTGGAGGTGGTGCAAAGATATTTCACTCTATTTTCTTCAGTGGTTTCATTCATGATCATTGTCATCTTGAATAAGAAAACTCAACGACGTTCTTTTGGAATGGGGATAATATAAGGTCTCTGATATAGTAATTCAGTACCATTCATACAACGACGAGCGTGCCAATACTATTAATCACGTTGGATAAACCTGAAGTCGTTGCTAGAGATGTGATTTAGGTGTAAAGTTAGTGTGCGTAGTATCGCATTCATCCTAGACAACTAACTTTCCCACTTTCCTACCTAATCACATGTTTAATTGAATTTGATCACATGTATACAAGAAATATGATTCAATTAACTCATATTTGAGGACAATGTCAATAAGATTATCCATAACTAAAACATACACCAAACTTGAATCCAAGAACATGGAAAAATGTTCACAAAGTAAACCAAAGTTACTATGGTGGATTCGGCCAACAAGGCTATTTATGTCAAAATTCTGCTCTTCCAACTGGTGTTTGGTGGAGCAAAATTAGTCTCATATATTAACTACTACAATGGTACTCCTTAATAACA